CCTCCGCGGGCTCAGCCCCGCCCACCTCCACGAACCGGGCGTTCAGACCTCGGCCCAAGCCCCGCCCCGCTAGCGCCCTGGATCCGGGTGGGAGCTCCTCGCAGCTTCAGCACGCGCCAGTTCCAGCGGCCGCCTCGGCGCCAGCCCCCAGGTCTTCCCCAGGGCGCCGGGGTCCCGTGGTGCTGCCGGCTCCGCCTCGGTCGCAGCCCGCCCACTCGGCTAGAGGCTGCCAGGATGATCCTGCAGCGCGCAGAGGCCAAACTCTTTTGCAGTCCCCCAGGACCTGCTTGCCATGTATCCCAGGGACTGCCACCATGGGTACGAGGATGTATTGACACCGGACCTTTTTAGTTCTCATCTGGGCTGGTTCTGAAGAAATGAGGTGCCGAGAGGTTTAGGGACAGTGCATGGCCCCTTTCTCCTCAAAGGGACATAGACTCCGGTTCAGTCCCCACGCGCCGGGTCTTCGGAGGAATCTTTATGCTAACGATGTGTTAGCAATCCAGATGACGGATGCGGCCTGGATAGGCGGCGGGGGCGGGCCGGGCACCAATCAGAGAACAAGGCTAAGGGGAGGTCGGAATGTTTGCTTACCTTTTCACCTCTGAGGAAGTCGGGGCTTTAACCCCCTTCGCTGCCGATCTGGCCAAACGCTGTGGGAATGTTTAATGCCTAAGGTTGTAGAGGCTCACAAGGCTCCCTTTAATCCAGAGCTTTCATTTTACAGATGGAGAAACTGAGGCCCAGAGGAAGTTCGCACAAGTGGCCTTGGATGCCAGTTCTCAAGTCTTGTTACTCTATAATGACGTCATTTTCATTAGCCTCCTCTGCAACTTCAGACCAGCCTTTATCAGCCAAAAATGAGGAAACAGAGGCCAAAGGAGGGCCCAGCTTGCTCAGAGTAGCTTTCCCTGGGGTCCACAGCCGGAGGAGGCTACATGTTCTCTGTTGAGACTGAACTACCTGAAAACGAGAAAAGCTACCATCAGGGCCGTGTGTTGCTTTGAATTTGACTGGAAAACCCCAAAATACAGCTTAACTCTGAAGTGTGGGTCCCTAAGAGCTAAGAAATTGGCCAAGAATGTTGACTTACTAGAACAGCACAAATTCATCATTTCCATTTGCTATCAGTATATTGTAGGTGAGCTTTGGGCAAGGTAAGCTGCAGGAATGGCCAGGACATGGTCCTGGTCAGGCTGGAGGTGGAGGTTGAACTCTCAGTCCAAGACTCCCGCATAGAGAGGGCCCAAGAGTTGGTAGTTCTTCCTCTCCTTGTAACCCACCCAGACTCATGCCTGAGGCAGGAGTGGAGGCTCTGCAGAAAGAAAACTCCGATAGGGGTCTTGCCCTGGGGAAATAATCTAAAGTGTGTGTGTGTGTGTGTGTGTGTGTGTGTGTATTTGCTGTGTCAGGGAGATGAGGAGAGTACCCAGAAGCTTGCCTGGCTCAGATGTATGTTTATTTTGAGTATCCCTAGACTAAAACATCTCACTCCTCTGCTGGATAAGCACTTAATTATCCTGCATGTAGGGAGGCCCCAATAGAAAACCTGAAAGGCAAGGGCATCCTCACTTTAAGCCCCACATTTCACCCAACCACAAATCTCCTCAGCTCCCTTCCTTCTCAGTTCTGCTTCAAAGCTCAGAAAGGAGGAGCAACCAGATCATGGCAACAGGCCAGACCACCTGAGACAAGAAAGTCCTCTCCAGGATCTGGGAAGCTTGTTTCCTGCATGTGGGTTGTACATGTAAGAGTTATTGCTGCCTTTTCCAACGGTTTAAGAAGAGAAGCTATATTTCACAACTTATTTTTTCCATTTCACTTTCAGCAAGCCGTGGGGTCAGACCCGCTTTCCCATGTGATGCCTCTGCTGGGGTATAATTTGCAAGCCAGAATTATTGTAATGCTATAGTATTATGCCAAGAACTTCCAGAGCACTTGTGTAGCTGTTCAGCCCCTACATACTCTGTATATAATTAACCCTCTGCAATATCCCTGCAATCTGCTGTTATTCCCAGTTTGCAGATGGGGTAGCTAGCCTAAGGTGGTATTTACTTGAAGCAGGCAAAAACCACATGGCTGTTTTCCTTTGGGAACTTGTAGAGACACACCTTCCAGCCAGAAATAATCATTCTGAAAGGAAATAGAACACTTCCTAAGGTAGATGTTGGAGAAGCAGTTTTATCAAATGAATTGGGGAGACAGAGTTGTAGAAAGGGGAATCAGAGCACCATAGGGGGTTAGAGCTGCATAGACTCTTTTTTTCAGATATAGCCACTCCATTTTGCAGAGGGAAAAACAGATCAATGGAGCGAATAAATGGAGTCAATAGGCATAGGTGAGATTGGTACCCAGGGCCTTGACATCACTAACCCAACATGGCATAGTATTGTAAACTATGCCCATCACTCTTGGTATTTTTGCTTGTTTGTTTGTTTGTTTGTTTGCTTGTTTATAAGTCAAAGGGTGTGTGTGTTTCCAGAGAGAGACAAAAAGACAGAGGAAAGGCAGAGGGAGAAAGCATCCCCCAGTGTGGCATGGTCAGGTTGCAGTCCCTTTTCCTCCATTTCTTTCTTTCTTTCTTTCTTTCTTTCTTTCTTTCTTTCTTTCTTTCTTTCTTTCTTTCTTTCTTTCTTTCTTTCTTTTTTTTTTTTTTTTTTTTAGAGGTTTTTGCTATAGGGTGCATGCACTCACCAGAAAGCAGAGAGAGACAGAGAAACAGAAAGCGAGAAATCATCCCCTGGGGGGGATGGCCACACTGCAATCCCTTCTCCTCCATTCTCCCCTCGGGATCTTGGGCACACACCCACACGCGCCCACTGTGAGTATACATCACCGGGTCCAGGACTCGAACCACGGTTGACCATGTGGGAGTCCAGCAACATAGCCATTACACAAACTGCTAGTCTCTCCATTTTTTCATTCTGTCCGAACTGGGGGTGCATGCATATGTGCTCAACATGTTTTACAAGCCATGGAGATTGGGATTTGAACCATGTAATCAAACCTATGGGATCTAGCTTCCTTAACCACGAGGGATAATGCTGTGCAGGGACCAGCCTAGTGTTTTTTGCTTTCTGTGTCCTCCTCCTGCCCCCATTAGTTTTTTCACTGGATGCATTAGGTATGACTGTTTCTGTTTCTGTCCTGTCTTGACTTCTCACTTTAGACCAAGAGCTCCCCAAAGGCTGGGACGTGGCAGCTCCTTTCTCTGTGCCTCCGTCCAGTATCTGGAGGAAGGCTATGCCATTTGTGGAGGCCCAAGTAAGTGATGCTACCAGCCCAATAGACTCATCTACTTCCTTCAGGAAACATCATTCAGTTCAATCCGTCCAAGGTTAATGTCAGTCCCCTGTCTGAGTGCAGGCCCCAGGGGATGCAGAAATGGTTCAGATAGCAATTCTGCCTCTCGCCAATAATTGTACAAGGCAATGCAAGAGAAGAGCAGGATAGAACAAGGGACAAAAAGCTATGGGACCATGGGGAAGGAAGTTAAATTCTGAGGGGAGTTGATCTATCACAGAGGGTTTTTAGAGACGGTCATATCTGACCTGAGCCTTGAAGAATGGGTAGCATTTGGAGATGAAAAATGCAGGCAAAGGAATTCCAGGCACAGAAATAACATAAGCAAAAATATAGATGCAGGACTATGTGAGCAGCAGCAAGTGGTCTAGTCTGAGTGGAGGAAGAGTAGCTGAGAATTTGCAAAGGCATAAAATGGTGGGTAAAGGTTAAAGATAGAAAAATAAGCTGTGTCCCATCAGGGAGAGTTTTGACTAACAAATCAAGAAGGGAACTTGACTGTATAGGCAATAGGGACCCATTGAAGGTCTTTAGGAAAAAAAAAAAAAAAAAGTT